TTTATCATAATTATCATTTAATTCAAACATATCTTTATATTTATTTCCTTTAGGTAGTTGTCTATCTCTTACTTTATCATAGAATTGTCTATATGGTTTATGCATAACTTTCATCTGTATCATATAATTCTTGTTTAGAGTTCCTGCTAGATTAGGTCCTCCTCCAGTATTCATTAAAACTTGGTATTCACTTATATCAGTTAAACTTAACCGATCAAAATTTTCTATTAATAAATATATCTCTTCATTCATTTTTATCTTCTTTTTCTTCTATTTTTAATTTTCCTAATTCTTCTTCTTCTTCTTCTGATATCTTTAGTAATATATTTTTTCCAAAATTCATCATCTATGCTTCTTGTTTCTACTATTATATTTTCTTTTTCTATATATTTCTTTCCTATTCGAGTCATTTCTTTTTCTATGAGTTTTTTTTTTATCTATTTTCTTATCTTTATTTTAATTACTTTCCTTTAATTCTCTGATTTCAATTTTTAATATATTTATATCGTTTCTTGTTTCTTTTACTTTATTTCTTAAATCTTGTACATTATTTATTAACATTTTTATCAATGATTTTAATTCCTCCATATATTCAATTATCGACATCTTAATTTTTTTTATTTCTAACACATATGTTAATTTGAATCTTTTATCTTCCTTTTTATCTATTATTTTCCCAAATCTTCTTTCAGCTATATCTAGATCTACTAATTCTTCTTTTACTATAATAAAGTATTTATTCTCAAGTTTTAATCTCTCACATTTTAATTTTGTTAATTGTCTATTATTTGGTATTCTCATTCCTTCTGGTACTAACATTATATTTCTTATTCCTTCTTGTATTTTATCCATTTTTAAAAGTAATTTATTCAATTTTTGATGTATATTATCAATTGTACTCACATTTTTCTTTATAATATAAATTATTTTCTTCATCTTCATATATATTAATAATTTTTTCATATGTATATATATATCTTTTATTTTTTTATTATTAATTTCTCTAATATTTGTTCCTTTATTTCTTTAGGGAGTTCTTTAATTATTATTAAAGTCATTATTTTTAATTTATTATGAATATGTTTTAAAAATATATAACTACCTTTTTCTTCTTTCAAACACAAATAATTATCTACTTTTCCTTATTTTTATTTTCACGATCTTTATGGCTCTGATACCAATATAGGGGGCTACTTAAAGTGAACAAAAATCAAATAAAAATATCAATCAAATAAAAATTATTAAATTTCAATCAATATTTAATTTTAAGGACTAAAATAGAAAATTTCTATATTATGATGCCTTGTTATGTAATATCCAAATGGAGGGCATTTTTGGTATGTAAATTATCTAAGGGCCATTTTGGAAAAGTAACCATTTTGAAAAGGTTATTTCCATATATTTCCCATACAAGGGTCGTGATCCCTCAAATCATTCATTATAAATATAATACAGTCAAAAGACTTTGTATGCCAAAAATATGCTAAAATCTCTACAAACCCACTCTCTTCGACTGTCGATTCTATCGCAGCACAAGGGTCGAACGGATTGGTCGAGTCTAATGTTTCGCAAGTTTTGACTAATTCAGAGGGCTGGACGTGGTTCGGTTCGATTTTGTTCTAATGAGAACTGAACTGGATTCGAATTTTTCGGGTATTTAATAAGTATAACCGTCAGGTCCAAATTTAATTATGAAACTTTTCGGGTTCGATTTCATTAGGTTCTCGGGTTTCGTAATATAATTAATTTTTTTAATATTTGTAAAATTATATTAATTCAACTAATACATGTTCAATTTTAACTCTTACAAAATAACGTAATCTAATCTTATATGTCTTTTGCTTCTTTCTTTGTTGAGTTTTTCATAGATTTGATTGATAAAATCATAAGAGAAAGATAGCAAGCTCACAATAATTAAGAAAAGCGCTGTCGAGTTTCAATTTGATTTCTTCAAAATGGTAGAAATGGTACTACGCTAGAATAACATGTTTGGATAAAACTTAAGTCAATTTGATTAAGTTAGGTTTGGACTGAAAATTAGAAAAAGGAAAATCATATTTTTGGGTTAGCAAATTTATTTAGAAAAAAATAATTCGACTTATTTAAAATTTTAGGGAGTTCTTTAATTATTATTAAAGTCATTATTTTTAATTTATTATGAATATGTTTTAAAAATATATAACTACCTTTTTCTTCTTTCAAACACAAATAATTATCTACTTTTCCTTATTTTTATTTTCACGATCTTTATGGCTCTGATACCAATATAGGGGGCTACTTAAAGTGAACAAAAATCAAATAAAAATATCAATCAAATAAAAATTATTAAATTTCAATCAATATTTAATTTTAAGGACTAAAATAGAAAATTTCTATATTATGATGCCTTGTTATGTAATATCCAAATGGAGGGCATTTTTGGTATGTAAATTATCTAAGGGCCATTTTGGAAAAGTAACCATTTTGAAAAGGTTATTTCCATATATTTCCCATACAAGGGTCGTGATCCCTCAAATCATTCATTATAAATATAATACAGTCAAAAGACTTTGTATGCCAAAAATATGCTAAAATCTCTACAAACCCACTCTCTTCGACTGTCGATTCTATCGCAGCACAAGGGTCGAACGGATTGGTCGAGTCTAATGTTTCGCAAGTTTTGACTAATTCAGAGGGCTGGACGTGGTTCGGTTCGATTTTGTTCTAATGAGAACTGAACTGGATTCGAATTTTTCGGGTATTTAATAAGTATAACCGTCAGGTCCAAATTTAATTATGAAACTTTTCGGGTTCGATTTCATTAGGTTCTCGGGTTTCGTAATATAATTAATTTTTTTAATATTTGTAAAATTATATTAATTCAACTAATACATGTTCAATTTTAACTCTTACAAAATAACGTAATCTAATCTTATATGTCTTTTGCTTCTTTCTTTGTTGAGTTTTTCATAGATTTGATTGATAAAATCATAAGAGAAAGATAGCAAGCTCACAATAATTAAGAAAAGCGCTGTCGAGTTTCAATTTGATTTCTTCAAAATGGTAGAAATGGTACTACGCTAGAATAACATGTTTGGATAAAACTTAAGTCAATTTGATTAAGTTAGGTTTGGACTGAAAATTAGAAAAAGGAAAATCATATTTTTGGGTTAGCAAATTTATTTAGAAAAAAATAATTCGACTTATTTAAAATAAATAAATTAAAAAATTAAGAAGATTCGACTGTTATTCGATTTTTTGATTCTTAGTCTAGAATTGAGAACTAAGCCAAATGCATTGGTTCTTGATTCAGATAACTGTTTGGATATTTAATTTAAGAAGAACCACTCGATTCTCTTCGATTTGAGTCGGTTCGATTCGAGAATTTAGTCCAATCCTACTGATTCACATTCAAAAATATCTGAGAGGGCAGGCAGTTACAGAGAGTTCAACTTATACTAGAAGCATGGAACACGATGCCAACTTGTAAAGAAATAACTTTATAGCTGGGACATTCTGGTCACATGGTGGAGATGCTTTTTATTTCTCATTCTTTCTCCAACCCACGTATCAACTGACTCGTAAATGTATTCATACCATTCAAATCTCACTTCACTACCATACAGAGCTAAATATACACAAAAATGGAAATAGATGTTTAATATTTTTAAAAAATGAACCTAGAGAAAGAAGAAAATGGAAATTATATCAAGAAAGGTTATTTGAATATGGTTAACTTCTGAGTTGATCCGACGTTAGGGGTGGCAATTGGCCTAGTAGAGTCGAGCCGGCTTGGCCCATCTATCCACGAGCTCAAGCTCGTTCAATCGAGCCGAGTTGAGTCCACGAGCTCAGGAATTTTTTAAAAACTTTTTTGACTCTTTTTTTCCCTTTTTTTTACAAGTCCTCATGAGTCCGTGAACCCCTTGCCCACGAAACAGGTTCAACTCGCCTAGTGAGCAGGCTCGCTCGGCTTGGGTTCAAGCTCGTCCAAATACGATGTCATCCTTTCTCCAAAACCTACGGAGAAATTAAGGTGGAAAAAGACAAATTGGTCAGATTTGATCAAACCAATCATAAGAGTGAAGAATCAGGAGAGAACGATAGATGAAACAGGAAAGCTATGGAATTTAGTGCTTTCTTATCCTTACGACTGTGACTTAAAATACCTTTATGGACCATGGTTGAGAAATTTGGCAGTGAGAGCAACTTAATTTAAAGGAAAATTGGTGTCTGGATTTTCACCCTCCTCCTCCTCAAGGTTACAACTTGTTTGTCTCGACTTAAAAGTTCCTTAAATTTACTTTTAAGTGTATCTCTATTCTAAACATGTTTAAATCAAATAATTTTTCTATCAATAGAAAGTAACGCTTTAAAAGTTGGATCCGAAAAAGATAAAAGGCTAGAAGTTAGAGGATGAAAATAAATAATTAATAAATAAATAAAACAAACAATCTTCATTTTAAAATTTTTATGAATGAACTTGTAAAACAAGCCGGCTTTCATTCGGTGTTTTGGCTTCTGCAGTTAGTTTAACATGTTTTAACTTATTATTGGAAAAGTTTACATGTACATAATTATTGTACATAACGTTGTCCATAATGTGATATGGCAATCATCCTATTGTTAATGTGAAAGTATGAGATTTGAATTAAAAGTTGGATCCAGTACCACATGTAATTATGGACACTATTATTTATATGTAGCACTTCCCTTCTAATTATATTTATTAAAATTTTCTCAATCACACTCGTCAATTTAGTCCGTCTCTTATGATAGTAAAAATATAAACTATGAAGTAAATGCTTATGTAAACTAGCTAACTTATTTATTTTTGATTCTGTCCAACATAAGGGATGATTTTTTATAAAATTATTTACTTATAAGTAAGTTGTTTAAAACTATCCAAACATGCATTTAGTCCACTCTCTNCATAAGGGATGATTTTTTATAAAATTATTTACTTATAAGTAAGTTGTTTAAAACTATCCAAACATGCATTTAGTCCACTCTCTTTCTTCCATTAATCCTTTATATTCAAACCTTGTTTCTCTCCACATTCTCCCCAGTGAGTCTCTCTCCGTTTTCTTTCTAATCATCCATTTCTTGATCAATTATCAAAATATCAAGTCTTTTCCTGTGTACAACCAAAAAAGGGCTCCCAAATACAAAAGCAAAAAGAAAAGAAAAAATACATTGCCGCCACCAGCAAGACCAGCAGTGCCCTCAAGAAACAAGAAGATTCGCATAATTAAAAGCACAGAAGAAAACTTCCACAATACCATTGCGAACCTCAATCGACCAATCTTTATCTTCCATTTCCTTTGCCTAAAGAATTGTTCAGAGTTCTTGACAATTTTTTTTTTCAAATCCTAGCACTGTTCTTTGTTTCAAGAAAATCTGAAAAAAAATTAAGATAAGCAGATTGGTCTCAAAGTAGGGGATTTAGAAACTGGGTGTTTTCCAAATCTTCAAGATTTTGAGAGAATAGTGTCCCAGATGATGCACATTGATGATAATCCATCAACCCCTGGGAAGTTCAAGATGGAGAAATCTCCATATCATAGGCAGAGGCTCTATTCTTCTTTAGCCAAGCTCACGTTTTGGTCTTTTGTTTTCATTGTGTTGATCTTTATGTTCTTGTTTAGATCATCATCATCTTCATCAAAAGTCCCTTCAGATCTCTCGAGGAGGTCTTTAAGAACCAGTTCTTATGGTGGTCCGGTCTGGGAAAAAAGGGTCAAGGCCTCAGCTAAAATCAGGTCAAAAAATGGGCTTTCTGTTTTGGTAACCGGGGCTGCTGGCTTTGTAGGTACCCATGTATCGGCTGCCCTCAAACGCAGGGGGGATGGCGTTTTGGGGCTTGATAATTTTAACGATTACTATGATCCGTCCCTTAAAAGGGCGCGGCAGGCACTATTGGAGCGCACCGGCGTGCACATTGTGGAGGGTGATATCAATGATGTTACCCTCTTGAAGAAGCTTTTTGATATTGTTGCATTCACCCATGTAATGCATTTGGCCGCACAGGCCGGTGTGAGGTATGCCATGGAAAATCCTAGCTCCTATGTGCATAGTAATATTGCTGGTCTTGTTAGTGTGCTTGAGGTTTGTAAAAGTGTCAATCCTCAGCCTGCAATTGTGTGGGCATCTAGTAGTTCCGTTTATGGATTAAATACTAAGGTGCCCTTTTCGGAGAGGGATAGAACAGACCAGCCGGCTAGTTTGTATGCAGCCACTAAGAAGGCTGGTGAGGGAATTGCACATACCTATAACCATATATATGGACTTTCACTTACCGGCTTGAGGTTCTTCACAGTTTATGGACCCTGGGGTAGGCCAGATATGGCATATTTCTTTTTCACACGGGATATTTTGAAAGGGAAGTCTATCCCCATCTTTCAGGCACCTAATCATGGAACTGTGGCAAGAGACTTTACGTATGTTGATGATATTGTGAAGGGTTGTTTGGCGGCGTTGGACACTGCTGAGAAGAGCACTGGTAATGGTGGCAAGAAAAGTGGGCCAGCACAACTGCGCATTTACAATTTGGGGAACACTTCTCCTGTTCCTGTTTCGGATCTTGTTAGCATTTTAGAAAGATTGCTCAAAGTAAAGGCAAAGAGGTTAGTTATGAAGTTGCCTAGGAATGGGGATGTGCAGTTTACACATGCTAACATAAGCTTAGCTCAGAGAGAGCTCGGATATAAGCCCACAACAGATCTGCAAACGGGATTGAAGAAATTTGTTCGATGGTATCTCAGTTACTATGGCAATGGGAAGAAAAGCGCGCAGTGATACATTCTTTTCATTTGTGTGGTAGGATCATTCTATTCTTGTTCAATATGATTTTTGTGATTGTTTTTTACCTGTCACAGTTTGTAGCCCAGTTATCTTGTTTTCGCATATATCTTAATGATTTCATATAAGGAGAAAAATTGTAATCCCACGACGGAAAGGTTCTTTTGGTTGGTCATGATTGCTTTCATGGGAAAATTGATATGTATCAAAAGACAAAACCCAACTTTTTCACTCTAAGAAATGTAACTGTTGTAGTTCTATCATTGTAGAATTCATGACTGATCGAGCAATTTGCTGATTGATGGAAGTGTATCACCTTTAAGGAGTTCAAATAAAATAGCACACAACGGTTGATTGTCGCTTTCTTTGTTTAGATTTTTTAAATGAATTTTAACTCAGAATTACTGCTGTTAAGTTTGTGTTGTATTGGTTGCCCACTTTATTGGCTTAAGTACATTCAGGATATGCGTATTGATCACGGTGCATCATCTTACCATATGTATACTTTGCCATTTATTGTAAGAAGTTCTATGTTAGTTAAGATTTCCCTTACTTTCTGTCTTTGCTTTTATGATATTTGGATCCTTATAGTTGCTGCTAGTACTTGGAAGCCTTGAACTGAGGATATCGTGGATTTAGTTGATGAATCTATGTTTGATCTCCTAGAATTATCTTTTCACTAGGATCTTTCTGTCTTTATATCAGTTGATTTGCCAGAAAAAAATCGTTTGCTAATGTTGTCTACGTGCTGCTGCCTTGTTGCTCCTCAAAATCCACATGATACCCAAACCCTAGTCCATTAAAACCCCATGTTTATTCCAACTTATATAAGCCCAGTAGCCCATAAATAGCCAGCTATCTACTGCGTCCAAGCTTAGATTCCGTTCTTGTTTCTGCTACCGTCGTGCTGCAGTATTTGTTGGTTGGCGCCTACCCAAATTCAACCATTCTATCTCTATTATCCCCAATCGCCACAACCATCAATGGCAACTCTCGAGAAAATCCAACAATTTCCCCTTCCCCCGCTGCAATCGCCACCATCAACAACAGTCAGCCACCTTCGCCATCGCCAACCTAACCACACCAACATCGAAATTTCCTTTTTGCCGCCGCTACTCCAGCACCTTTAGAGCCCACATCGATCGGGTTCAGTTGCTGCCTTTGCAATTTCCACATTCGAGAATTTGTTTCAACCCTTGAGTCATCTAGATAGTTCTGCTCTAGTGTGCTTTGGGAAATTATATTTTCAATTCATGAAGATCCTCTTTTTCAGAAAGGTTTAATTGTTTTTGTTCCACTTTAAGTCAACACTCCAGTTGAATAGGTTGCACCTAGTAA